GGTAGCCTAGTGCCTAAGGCACTTGACTACTAACCAGAAGGCTGGCGGTTCAAACCCACCAGCCACTCCTCGGAAGGAAGGTTGGGCAATCTTCTTCCGTAGTGATACTGCCTCAGAAACTGAGGAGCCGGAAAACCAAGGAGGGGTCGCCATGAGTCGGCTCCGTCTTGAAGGCACATAACAACAACCTGACACCAAAGTCCATGCTTTTAACTGCTACACTATGTTAACTGTCTTTCGTATTTGTTGTGAACAATTTTTTTCTGGTATGTAATCTGCTTTCTAATTTTGCCTATGATAATTTGATATTTATAAGTTTTAAATCATATGTATCCATATTACTATGTTATTTTAATACAGTTGACAAATACACTGGTCGGCCGTGTATTGATTTTTTGGACAACCCTGATAAGTGGGATACAAGCTATACATTAAGCAGCATCTTACTTACCCTCCAGGTAAGAACAGATTAATATGATGTTCTCATTAATACTTTTAACTATGCTGGTTGTTCAAACTATAAGAAATAAAACGTACAAATATGTACATGTTTGACTGATTAAACACAAAGCCAAACCAAACTCACTGCCATTCAGTCGTTTCTGACTCATAGCAACCCCTTCTTGGGTGAGATGTTATTTCTACAGAAGTAGAATGCCTAATCGTCCTTCCGAGGAGTGGACGGTGGGTTTGAACCGCCTCCCTTCTGGTTAGCAGTCAAATGCCTTAGGCACTATGCCACCAGAGCTTCCTTTAAGTGATTTGTTGTTGTTGTTGTTGTGTCCCATCAAGTTGCCCGACTCATAGTGATCCCTCCTTGGGTTTCCCGAGGTGAATCACTACAGAAATAGATTGCCCAACCTTCCTCTGAGGAGTGATTAGAGCAAACTTATTTAAATCAGTAACTTGCTTTTTACATCAAGACTATAAAATAGAATTTGAATTATAAAAACAATTATTTAAAAGTGAAATTGATAGTTAAGACTCTTCATGGCTGAAGAATATATATTTTATAAAAGGAAGTAATTGTTCCAATGATTTCAATTCTAAACCATATAGTCCTAGGTTTTCTCTTGGCTCCCAATTTCATTTCTTAATATTAAACAGATTTTTTAGAACTTTCTTCATGGATTTTACCTTCCTTCAAAGAGGTGAAAATGTTCAGGTCTACCTTTTGTTTTTGACAGTATTAGCTTATAAATTTTTGTATCAAACCCAATGAGCAATTAAACCAAGGACTTTTCCTGCCCTCGTGTAGATGCCTGTTTCCAGAAGCCTCCCTTCACCCCCTAGGTCCAGGGTCCTCAGAAATATGCCTCATTGTTGTGTTATTCCTGAGCCTCAAAGAGCTTCCTTTCTCATCTGATACTGAAGTAAATTATTTCAGTGGCATTCACTTTGACCATGAACATCCAGCTCAGTGATATTTTATTTATTAATAATATCCAAAGATAAAATGTTAACTTTTGATTACCTGGAATAGTTTGAGAATAAAGTATTCTAGCTTAATTGAATTTTATCAATCAACTAAAATTATAATACAAAATCTATTTCCCTTCTTATTTTTTGAAAATAAACTAATACTGATTTTCTGGTTAGCCATCTGATCATACTGAGAAAATCGATCTTTTTAAAGATTTAGCATCCAATGTATTCATACATTCAACAAATATATATTGACCATCTTTCTGTGACAGGTCTTTTTCTGGGAAGGAGATATTTGAATAAAGACTTAAAGCAAATGAGTATATATGGAGATGAGTCAATCATATATATTCCTGTCTCTTCCACATAAACTAGGGTCTGCCACAAGAAAAGTAAGACAGAATTTTCTCAAAATGTAATGAGCAAGGGCAAGCTGGAAAGAACTGGTACAAACTTCGAATTGCAGAATAATTTAATAAAAGGTAACTGAGTCGCTGCGATTAGATTGCTTGGCTTCCCATCTTGCTTCTGCCACTTAATACCTTTGGAACCTAAGATAAGTTTCTTAACTTTGCATGCTTCGATTTCTTAATCAATAAAACGGGCTGTGTTGTTGTTGTGTTGTTACATGCTGTTGAGTCTGACTCAACTCGTAGGCGACCCCTCCTTGGGTTTCCGAGGCAGTATCACTGCGGAAGTAGATTGCCCAACCTTCCTTCCTGGGAAAATGGGCTGTAGCTACATCATGTGACTGTTTTGAGGATTGAATGAATTCATGCATGTAAAGTACTTAGAATGGCACCTGGTCCAAGAACCGAATTCAATAAAAGCTAGTTAATATCAGAATTGTTATTGCTACTAAATAATAATGTGAAGTGACAACAAAGCGTTGCTAAATGTATCAGGTAGGGCCAGTAGATGACAGGGCTATTTTATTTTTCAAGTAAATTTATAAAACAAATATGCCTACATTACAGAAGATTTTTAAGATAATGGAAAGGAAAAATCACTGAGAAGCATACAAACCCTAACCCTGCTGTTATTAACATTTCCTCCTGATTTTATGTTTCTGTTTAAAATCTGTCAGTGGTTGCCTCATTGTCTACAAGATTAAGTGCGAATTCCTTAGCATGACAAATGATAATCTACCTCTCCACACCTGGGCTTCAGATTCTCTCCCTAACACACCGTGAAAACCACTCCTATTTATATCCTGCTTTTTTCTTTCTTTTGCTCACAGTGCTTGGTTTAGCTAAAATCAAAAAGCGTTTGAAAATTTAGATTCTAAAGTTACAAAGTGCTCAATCCGGTGTCGCGTCTGACTAGTAACCCATTTTCTCCTTCTCTCGTCCTCAGTCTGTCTGGCAAGCAGCTGCTCAGGTTTTCAGTCTGGTCAAATGAGCACTGCTCTGGGATGTCTTTCTTGATTTATTTTACTAAGTAGTGATGGCTTTGTTTTTGTTTTTGCTTTTTGAAAGGAGGGCATTCTTTGTCACCTACTGAATGAGTTCTTAAGCAGACTTCTATCATCAGAGTAATAGTGTAATAAGGAGCCCTGGTGACACAACTGTTAAGTGCTCCACTGCTAATAAAAAGGCTGGTGGTTAGAACCCACCCAGCAGCTCTGTGGAAGAAAGATGTGGCAGTCTGTTTCCATAAAGATTTATAGCCTTGGAAACCCTCTGGGCATTTCTACTCTGTCCTATAGGGTCATTATGCGTAGTTGTTTACAGATGTTTCAAATCATTATACTTATCCTTGGAAAGCTTTTTATCACATGGATAGTTTAAAAGTTGGACTTTTATTTACTTTATTAGCAAGGTGTCTGATTTATACACTTTAATATATACTTTATATTACCAGTTCTTACAAATCATTAAGTATAATTAATAGCTTGTACTCACATTATAAGGAGCTCTGGTCACCTGGTACCTAAGGCATTAAACTGCTAACCAGAAGGCTGGCGGTTCAAACCCACCAGCCACTCCTCAGGAGGAAGGTTGGGCAATCTACTTCCATAGTGATACTGCCTCAGAAACCCAAGAAAGGGTCGCTATGAGTCGATCTGACTCTATGGCAGTGGTTTTTTTTTTTTTTTTTTGGTTTTGGTGGCGTAGTGCCTAAGGCATTTGACTGCTAACAAGAAGGCCGGCGGTTCAAACCCACCAGCCACTCCTCAGAAGGAAGATTGGGCAATCTACTTCCATAGAGATACTGCCTCAGAAACCCAAGGAAGGGTCGCTATGAGTTGAATCAACTCAATGGCAGTGAGTTTGGTTTTTTTTGGTATGCGCATTATATGACACAGTGGTTAATGAGAAGATTACTGAATAAACTTTATCAGGTATGCCTCTCTCAATAAGATTTTCTCTCCAATCAACAACCAAAAGCTATTTCCCACCCACTTTGAAAGGTATAGTGCAGTCTATACTGAATCTTACTTACACAATTATAATATTCTTTGGAAACATAGCCCACTGTGTTTTCCAAACAGGAAAACTCAAGAAATAGCAGAAAATTCTTATTGCCTTTAAAATATTGTCAGACATTTGCTTTTATTGATGAAAAATTGCCATAATTTACATGACTCTTCAGCCACAATTGTCCACTTTAACCTGTATCTCTACTTAGGTCTTTTGGTACTTACTATTTTAGCTATACTCTATTACATCATTTACATGTTTTAACATGTAATATTCAAAATGCTGAATAATTGAATAGATCATTATAATTTGCATAGTATTAATTTTGAAGCATCAGAGAAACAAGGTGTGTGAGTGGAACTATTCTGTTTTAGTTACTACTGCTCATCTACTTGTAGAGCTGAAGATACTGTAGTAGGTAGAATTCTAAAGATGTCCTCCCAAGATTCCTTTGCCTCCACCCTTCACAATTCTTCAATCAAACACCAACTTAGGTGTGAGCTGAAAAGACTTTGCAGATGGAATTAAGGTTACTAATCAACTGACTTTAAAATAGGGAGACTATCTGGATTATTCACCTGGCCCAAAGTAATCAAATAAGCATGTAAACCCTTGAAAACAGAGGAGGAAGGCAGAAAAGTCAGTCTGAGAAATACAGTGAAAGATCCAGAAGGGATGGCAATGGGAAGTCAGAGATTCCAAATTAACTCCTATTAACGGATTAATTATGCTATTGCTGTCTCTGAGATGTAGGGAGCCACAAGCAAGCATTGGTGAGAGATGGCTGGGAGCTAAGGGTGGCTCCAGGTGGATAGCTAGCACAGAAATGAGGACCTCAGTTTTACAGCTGCAGTGAACTGAATTTGGCCAACCACCTGAATGAACTTGGAAGGAGATTCTTCCCAGAGACTTTTGATAGGAGCCCAGACAGCCAACACCTTGATTTTGGTCTTATGAATATCAGAGCAGATAAACCAGCCCAACCATGCTGAACTTCTCCCCTACAGAAATGTGAGATAATAAATGTGTGTTGTTTTAAGCTGCTAAATTTGTGGTAATTTGTTACAGCCACAATAGAAAATTATTACAGATACCAAATTAATCATCTGACAATCTGGAAGAATACTGAAGTGTGCCCAAGCCTCCCTGCATGCACTTATTTAACCATGATCTATGTACAGTCTCATGTTAAAATGTAAGGTTTTATATTTTTTTAACCTATGCACTGGGAATGTTTTAATATTTCCTAATGTTTAGTTCATGGACCTCTGGTGGCATTTGGCTGCTAACCAGAAGGTCAGTGGTTCGAACTCACCAGCTGCTCCTCAGAGGAAAATGAGGCAATCTACCTCCATAAGATTTACAGCTTTGGAAACCCAGTGGATGATAGTGGATGGGTAATATTTAGTTCAAGGAGCTCTGGTGGTATAGTGGTTAAGGCACTTGGCGGCTACCCATACAGTCAGTGGGCTGAACCCACCAGCTGCTCCACAAAAGAAAGATGAGACGCTCTGCTTCTGTAAAGATTAACAGCCTGGAAACCCAACAGGGGGCCATTATGAGTCGGGATCTACTTGATGGCAGTGAGTTTTTTTGTTTTGTTTTCTAATGTTCAGTTTCCTTGACACATAAATCCAATTTAAATTTTTGTGATAAGGAGGAATAAGTTATAGCAAGGAACTTGTAGCTTGTTTGATCTTAGTGTTTGGCTCCTGAGTATGTAGTATGAAACCAAGATAGATCAAGAGTTTCTTGAAGACAGATTATGTTTCATTTATCATCGTTATCTATACCCAGGTATATAGTAGGCATTTAGTAAATTTAATAAATACTTGTTGAAGGTTGTGTATATTGGTTTGTCTTTTTACTCTAAAAAGAAATTAACTTTAAAAAACTATGTTGTGTATATTTTCTTATAGGTTATGCTTTCCAATCCAGTAGTAGAAAATCCAGTGAATTTGGAAGCAGCTCAAATGCTGATTGCCAATGAGTCTTTGTACCAAATAACAGTTCTAAAGCTTTTTGGCCAGCGATTACACCGTAAGAAGTGTCTCCTTGTTGCTATTTGGTGATGATTAATTATACATTCATGTTGTTGTTTGTTGTTAAGTGCCGTCAAGTCGTTTCCGACTCATAGTGACCCCATGCACAGCAGAATGAAACACTGCCACACCAGCCCCACAATCCCTGCTATACTTGAGCCCATCATTGCAGCCACCGTGTCAATCCATCTCGTTGAAGGCCTCCCCCTCTTTCATTGACCCTCCACCCTACCAAGCATGACATCCTTCTCCAGGGAATGGTCCCTTCTTACAACATGACCAAAATAGGTGAGACAAAGTCTGGCCATTCTTGCTTCCAAGGAGCATTCTGGCTGCACTTCCTCCAGGACAGATCTGTTAGTTCTTTTAGCAGTCCATGGTACTTTCAGCATTCTTCACCAGCACCACAACTCAAAAGCATCAACTCTTCTTCGGTCTTCCTTATTCATTGTCCAGCTCTCACATGCATATGAAGTGATTGGAAATATCATGGCTTGTGTCAGGCACACCTTAGTCCTCAAGGAGATATCCTTGCTCCTCAGCACTTGAAACAGTTCCTTCACAGTTGACTTTCCCAATGCTACATGTCATCTAATGTCCTGACTGCTGCTTCCGTTGGCATCAATTGTAGAACCAAGCAACGTGAATTCCTTGACAACCTCAATCTTCTCTCCATTTATTGTGAGGCTGCTCATTGGTCCAGTTGTGAGGATTTTTGTTTTCTTTATGTTGAGATGTAATCCATACTGCAGACTGTATTCTTCAACCTTCATCAGTAGGTGCCTTAAGTCATCCTCACTTTCAGCAAGCAAAGTTGTATCATTCATAGTAAATATGTAATTTGGCAAATAAGTGTTCCATAAGAGAATATTTGATTATTTTCAGTATCCATTTTCAGTAACGAAATGGTACTAAGGTCTCTCCTACTGTAACTGTTTGTCAAGCCAATCAGTGTGATTTTTTTTTATTTTTAAAGATCATCAGAAACTGTAAGCATAATATCTTCAAATGGTGACCATATGGGTGGGTGGTGCCAACTGGAGCTAGTCTATGCATCACAAAGATATAACATCTAATTTTAAATCTTTGATCTATAATGGATATTTCTCAGGCTTCACTTGCAGTACCTCAGCTCTTACTGATCTGAGTCTCCTTTCCTCTTGATAAGAAAAACAAACAAACAAACAAACCTTTTTTTTCCTGGAGAACTCCCTTCCCAGGTATTCTTTCTAAGAGTCCAATGGAAATGGAAGGTCCAGAAGCCTTTCAGTCTTTCTGCTCTCTAGAGCCCCTTGGTTTGCTCATGGCTCATTCTGCTAGCATCCGGTTTACTCCTAACCATTGCCCTGTGCCCTCTCTCCACTTGCAGAGCAATGGTGCTGGCCCCTTGTACCCATCTCTACAGCTGAGAGTGGAGCCCCTGGTGATCCAATTCTGTCATTTCAGCCCTGCCCTCTCCTTCCCGTAATGCACAGCGCCCTTGCTCAGCACCTGGTATCATTACCTCCCCAATCAGCACTCCTAGCTGATCAAATTCCAAGGGTGGAAACCCACGTGAACTTGTTCACTACAGATTACTAAGTAAGCACAAGTAAACCTTGCTTATTGGGTACTCCGTCCCTGTCAGGGATGTAAATTTGAAGAGGCATTGATATAGGAAGTTGCTGTAGGGTTGGGAGAGAGAGAGATGCCAGCCATACCTAGAAGCAGGATCTTTGGTGGGGTTGGAGGGGAAAAAAAAAAAGGTGAAGTTGTTCACTACAAATTAGTAAGTAAACACAAGTAAGCCTTAGCTTACTTATTGGGTAATCTAACACTGTCAGACTCACTCTGCCAAATTGATCTCTTGCATGGTGCTTTTTCTCTCAGATGTCCATTGTCTCTTTTTTCAGTCCTGGAGACAGGTCTATAAAGTAGTGACCAAGTTCAGGTATTCTTCCACAGGGCTTCTGAGTCTGATGAAAATCGGGGAGGTGTTAACCAACCATCTTTTTTGGTATTTCTGAACATCTTATGATTGTTGCAGAGTTCTTCTAACATTCCCTGACCATTGTGAAGCTGGTTTGTACACAGAAGGAATGGTACTGCTTCAGGCTGACCTACAAAATACCATAGGATGCATGCAGTACTCGTGGTTCACCTAGAGCAGTACTGACAGTCAGTAAATATTTGTGGACTTGCTGAGTGAATAATGAATGATATACATCATTAAACTTTTCATTGAGCCCTGTAGCACTGTTGTTACAAAAAATATTCTATGTAACAAAGCTATGTCCATTTTCAGCTGAATGGCAATTTTAAAAGCTGGTTTTAAAGAATTTTTTCAGTAACTGATTCTGTGCAACAGAATTTGCCAACTTGGAAGCTCACCTCTGCCATTTCCGAGTGCTGCCTCCTAGGGGCAACAGCAATTTTCAACATTTGGCTCTCTCTTCTGCATTTACCATTATATTTCTAAGCTTATCTATACTAATATTTCTGGGATGCTGTTTTAGAAATTATTTCTAGATTTCTTATGAAATAGAAAGATTTCGCTTTTATACTGTCACCCCCACCTACACTTCTTCTCTCTCATCCTCCTGATATAGTTATATCATAATGGTTTTGGTTACTTTATTATGACTGTATAAATATTCTTCACAGGTGAGCTGTTGTACAATTGTTTCTTTTCTTGTACAAATGTGCTGATTTTTCATTTACTTGTTTCTTATGCCTCTACCAACTATTCTTCTCCTAATTTTCTGAAAAAGCTGTAAAATTACTCCCAGGATGACCAATCATGTAAGTATTCAATCAGTTCCATTTTCCTCCCTTGGAATGTTCTTTCCTGTGGTGCCCCATCCTCCTCCTTTAATTCTGAATTGGAAGTTGTCTAGGGCAGCATGAGTAGCTTGGATCTACCCTTTTGCCTGCCTCCTGGGCTAGCACTCCTGTTTGATCTCTGGCTTTACTCTTTGTTGCTTTTCTCCTTCATGTTATTGTAGCAATGTCTAAAGATGTATTTATTCTATTTTCATATGTTAATAATTTCTTTAAATGTTGACTTTTTGTTTGGAAATAATTATCTTTCAGAATTTTAAAGATGAGTTTTTATTACCTTCTTGGTTCTAGTATTGCTCTTGAGAAGTCTGATTTTATTCTGATGTCCAATTTTTCATGTGTAATTTATTCTTACTTTCTAGAAGTTTATTTCCAGTCATCTGAAATTTTCTGATGGTTTTTCTGTGTGTGTGTGTGTGTGTGTGTGTGTTTTGTTGTTGATGTTGTTCTCCTCAATCATCATGGAGGACATGTTGACAGACTGTTGAAATCTGCAACCTCTAATCCTTCAGTTCTGGGAAATTTTCTTATATGATTTTTTTTATTTGTTTTTGTTTTTTGATATTTGTTGTGCTTTATTTAAAGAGGTAGTTAAAAATGTGCTTTAATCATATTATAAAATATTTAATGCAATTACAGTCATTCTTCATCTTATTTCATTTTGGAAAATGTTCGATATTCTTATATGACTTTTTGCAATGTCTTCCTCCTCTATTTTCCCCGTTCTCTTTTCTGGTTCTCCTATGATATGGAAGTTGCACCTGATCCCCTAATTTTACAAAATCTATTCTCTCCTTTTGGTCACCTCTTTGTCTTTTGTTCTGTTTTCTAACAGATTGCCAGAAAAATGTTTCTACTTCCCATTTCCTCCCTGCTTATTTGTTTTGTTTTCTGTCTTTCATGATGTCAGCTTTGCTAAAATGCCTGGTGTTCTTTGGCTATAGTTCTGAGACTGTTTTGTTTCATTATAGGGTTATGCAGTGAGAACCTAGCCATTTCATTCATTAGGCCTGTTTCTCTTGAAGGAACCCTGGCTGCACAGTGGTTCAATGCTCAGCTGCTAATTGAAAGATTGGCAACTTGAGCCCACCAGCCCCTCCATGGGAGGAAGATATGGCAGTCTGCTTCCATAAAGACTACAGCTTTGGAAACTCTATGCGGCTGTTTTGTTCTGTCTAAAAGAGTAACTATGAGTCAGAATCAACTCAACAAGGGTTTGTTTGTTGGTGGTAGGTTGTTTTTTTTTTTTTTCCTCTTCATGTAAATCCTCCAATCTTGTGCCTGGCAAGATATAGACACTAGCTGCTTATAATCTGGGACCTCGGTAGGGAAAAAAGAATGAGGAATCTTATGTGTTTAGTATGATTTATTCCCCATTTCAGTCCCTTACCATACTCCTGTTCTGCTTTGTGCTTACTATCCTCTAGTCCTAAACCTCTTTGGCCCAGTTTCCCCAAAGATTAGATGTCTTCCCTGGGTAGGGCCGGGCTGGTTATTGGGTTATACAAAATGAGGGTATGAGACTTTCAGATCTGTGCCATGCCCCTGCTTTCTGAGGCATTTGGTACCTTCAATTTTTGAATATTTTCTAAAGTTCTGAAGTGGAAATCTGCTCACTTCCTAGTGATTCTCCTCATCATGCAGTTAAGTTTCAAATTTCTATGACCTGCTAAGACAATTACCATTTGACATCTGTTCTCCATCTTAGAGGGAAAAAATATCATCTTTATTGTTTTCCTCTACTTGAAGTTTTATACCTTATTTTTATTATTTTATCACCATTTTATCGATGCATTGGAAAGACAGCACATAAAATCATATGCTCAATTTTCTATGTTAACCAGAATCCTTTTATATTTTTCTTTACAGTTGGAGATAGCCGCCCTGAGTTACCTAAGAAACCACTGGAATGCATCAAGTAAGTTTTTCTTTACACCATTCTCTGTATATTTATTTACTGAAAGGACTATGGATTTAAACTGTTTTGATCATAATTGAATTTACATTTTTAATTCAGGAAAGGCAGTAGGCAGTAAGGTATTCTCTTATAATACCTTTTTAAAGAGTTGCTTTTAGGACAAATGTGAAAAGTGATTGCGTTCTTTCTAAACTATCAAATTAAAATTGAATGTAACTGTATTAACCTTGCCTGTTTTTATTTTTGACATAGAAAATAATGTGCCACCAACATAAGCACAAATGATTATAGATTATAAAAATCTAAGTAACTAAGTAAGAAATAAGATTATAGAGGAAAATGGTGAGAATTAGAGCTAAAGCCATTGCACAGTTTGGGAGACAGCCTGACAATGTGGCAATTCAGCCATGAACACCTGAGCAATGTATAGGCCTATGTTCTTTTATATGGTTTGCAGCATTTTGTTTCTTAAGTATTTCCTCAGCCAATGAGCTATAGAAAACAGACAACTAGCCAGCGTTTAAATAATGCTTCATCTCAGGTTTCCCTGACTAGTCCTTTATGAAAGATGAATAAATTAGGTAATATAAGTGGCTTCTGTTTGTGAGTAGTACAATAGTTTGGGATTCAGTCCTGGGATGTTGTTGTTATTAGGAGCCATTTAGTTGATTTAGACTCATAGTGACCCCATTTTGACAGAGTAGAACTGCCCCCATAGGATTTTCTGGGCTGTAATCCTTAGATTATAATCCTTTTAGATTGCCAGATCTCTCTCCTGTGGAGCCACTAAAAACAAAAACAACGACAACAAAAAAAAAACCTCACTGCCATCAAGTCGACTCAGACTCATAGTGACCTCCATTGGGCTTCCGAGGCAGTAAATCTTTATGATTTACCTACTGGATGAGTTCAAATCACGAACCTTTCATTTAGCTGTTGGGTGTTTAGCCATTGCACCACCAGGGCTCCTTATAAAGTATCATACACAATAAAATATGAGGGGGTAGTAGAGTGGTGAATAAGGATATGTTCTCTTGATTTTAGTGAGAAAATATAAGATAGAGCATAAGCACAAAAGTTAGTAAATAAGAAAAATATCAAACAAGTATTATACAGAAAATTGAATCGGATAAAGTGAGGTTAAATAGCTGGTTGGCTACCCTATGTGATTACTAAAGATTTCTCTGAAGAGGTAATATTTAAGCTGAGATATAAATGATAAGGAATCTGTCATGCAGAGTTTAGGAGAGGAGCATTCTAAGCAGAGAAAACAAGTAGTGCAAAGACCCTGAACTGGGTATGAGTATGGTGTGTTAGAGGATCAGAAAAAGAACAGTGTAGCTAGAAGACAGCAAAAGGGAAAGCTGAGCAGGGTAGACGATGAAGGAAGAGAAGTAGGAAGGGACCAGATCACTTTGGACTTTATAAAGCTGGGAAGGAATTATATTTACAGTGGAAATGGGAATATTATCAGATTAATACTTAAAAAGAATGACTTCAGCTGCTGTGTGGGGAATGTATTGGGCGAGATCTAAAAGAAGAATTCATAGAATGTAACAGTAGACCAAGAAGCTCTGGTGGTACAGTGGCTAAGGCGTTTGTCTGCCAACAAAAAGGTTGGTGATTTGAACCCACCTGCTGCTCCATGGAAGAAAGATGAGGCAACAGCCTTGAAAACACAATTGAGGTCACTATGAGTCACAATCAACTTGAAGGCAGTGAGTTTGGGGATTTTGGGTGTTTTTTTTTTTTTTTTTGGTTTGAGCAGTAAACCAGGGGAGATGACGGTGATTTGGACTAGGATTGAAGATATGAAAAGGGACAAAAGTAGATTAAGTAAATAAATCCAAAATATGGTTTGAAGAAGACTTACTGATTAGATGTAGGATGTAAGAAAAAGTGGAATCAAGGATAATTACTAGATTTTTATTTGAATTGGGTCAGCAGGCAAACCAAAAACAAACTCACTGCCATTGAGTCAATTCCAACTCATTGTGACCCTCATTGGGTTTCCAAGGCTGTGAATCTTTACAGAAGTAGATCAGCCCATCTTCTTTCCACAGAGCAGCTGGTGGGTTTGAACTGCTGAACTCTGGTTAGCAGCCAAATACCTTAACCACTACATTGCCAGAGCTCCTTAGGTAAGCAGTGCTGTCATTTGTATAGATGGGACAGATCAGAAGAGACACTGGTTTGGGGGTATAAATAATTTTATGCTGATTAATGTTGAGTTTGAAATGCTTATTAAATAGCCAGATAAAATTGTCAAGTAAACAATAGGTTAAAGGTTCTGAGTTTAGGGGAGATGTCAGGACTGGGAATAGAAATTTGGAAAATCACTGGTATATGTAGTATTTGAAACCATGAAACTAGAAAATATCATCTAGGGAGAATATGTAAATAGGAAAAAGAAGAAGGACTGGGAGTTAGACTGGGAAGAACTCACCATTTACATGTTGCAAAGAAGGAGACTGGAACCAATAGAAGAGACCAAATAGAGACACCAATGAGATAGGAAAATAATCCAATGATACAGAAGGATTAATAAACACAAAACAAGAAATGATTCACTAATAACCTTTTCTCCTTTACAGTGATTATACATTTGACCATATCCTAACCCTACTTACTAAGAAGTTCTACTCCATTTCTAAGACCCCTAATTCATTGATCCCAATCCATAACCACAATATCCTCACTTTTCATTTTAATTATTATATGATTGAGAGTAAGTATATTCTCCATCCTCACTAATACTTAAGTTACTATATTATGATCATACTTATGTTTTGAAATAGAATGTAGTAAAGAACTAAAGTCCAGCATTCCAACTTCAACAACAATTTTAAAGAAAGAATAAATTGCAAAAATCATGTTTAAAAATATTGGGGAACTGTGAAAATGGTGGGGACTGGATAAATATAATTCAAGTGGGAAAAGTCCTTCTGACTCAGTGCTGAAGAGACAAAGGCCAGACAGACTCTCAATCAAAAGCTATGACAATATCATGTCCAAAAAATAGGAACAAACATGAAGTTACCAAAACTACAATCCAGGGAGGCAACAGGGGAGTTCCGGCAAGATGGCGGACTAGGCAGAAGGATTGCACAGACCCTCTGCAACAAAGAAAAGGGAAACCAAT